CACAACACCAACACATCTGTGTGGTGAGGTTTGATTTTGTTTATTTCGGTGCGGTATGCTGTGGTAAGCAGCAGTAGTAAGCTGTAGCCGGTAGTGTAGTACATCGTGGCGTAGCTTGGTTTTTGTGGGCGTAGGGTGCCCTAGACCATTGTCTAATATCTTCTCCTTACCTTACTCTCATTTGTGTAGGTCTTTTCTTATAAACACACCAGGCCGTGGTCATAACCCATCGAGGAGAGATCAGTGCACCAGAGCAGATTCTTCCACCATTATCGAACTCGACAATACCTAGCCATGGCCAACTAGCAGGGAGAACCCTTGGACCTCCCAGGATGCGAGAGCTTACCGCTGACATCTTTGTACCACAAAGCGCTGTCATAATATGAGAGAATAGACCACATTACAAACCATATCAAGTGTTGTTTATTAAGTTGGTCATATTGTAAACTAAATGTTTCTTCAATGAGAAATAATTTATTTCCGAGCTTCCGGCACTGGCGCCAATCTTCAGGGATTACAATGGTATCATTAGACGCCTTTACCTTTAGCCTAATGTTTTCCCATTTCAGACCAAGTGTCATTCTCTGAAGAATAATATTATTTGTTTGAGTTTTTGTATCCATTCATATTCATGTTTCTTCTCGTGCATGGCCGTTAAACAAAAAATGAGATTGTTAGCTAGACCACTTAAGCCTTAAATGAAAGTTCGGGATTTTCCAGCACCTAGCTCCCATAACTTCTAATCCCAGTCAGGGCCCCTTTTTGCATTAAATGCAATAAAGAAAAAAGAGTGTAAAATGAGTGGGGAGGAGTCTTGAGGCAACTAAAAAATATATATTTGTCTACAATTATTCTCCACATAACGTATTACGAGTTACTTACGTCCCTGACATGATCCTGTCTTGGGGTTTTTCCTGTAATCAGCATCACACCTCACTAAATACGGAATATAAAAAGAGATGGTAGTTAGATAGAGGAATTATATGAAACGATTATGTAACAAAATGTTATCGCTAATCACCATCGCAAGTACACTAAGACAGTGTCGCATGAAAGGGATAGAACTGCAAGGATGTGAAGGCGCCTCTGCCAGCCGCAATGCAGTCCATTCTGACCCCGGAGCACAACCCTAACCAGTTTGAATTATTTAAGGTTGATTCGAGAGAAGGAAGGAAAAACCTAAGAGAGACTGAAAAACGTCGAGGACAGAAAAATAGAACCAGCCAACTTAGCTCCCATGGGGCAATTTGTTATACCCCTAGCTATTTCAAAAAGCGTTGCAGGATAGTTGATGATGATTTGTCCAACTAACGGATATTTGTTACCTGGTATGGTAATCCACGTGTTTGGACTAGTCCAGCTGCCGTAGGGAAACATTGACCATTTACCAGATGTTTTGTTTTGAACAGCAATCTAGATGCAAAAAAAAAAAAAAAAAGATTGGTACCTGAAAGTCAATCCAACAAATAACATTGGGCAATTAATAATAATAAAAACTATTTCTCAAACGACTGACCAATTAGAGAAACAAAATCCCTAACCAACCGACAGGCAGACAGACCTCGCAACGAACCATTCAAACAGCCAAAAAACTAACCAACGAACGAGCCAAATAACCAACCTATCAATCAACCAACCAACCGACCAGCCAACCAACCGACCAGCCAACCAACCGACCAGCCAACCGACCACCAAGCAAAGCGACCAAGTGACCAATAAATCGACCAATTAATTAATCAACATATCAACAAACAAAGCAGCTTATATTCATGAAAGATGGAAAACATGGAAATGTTCCTCTTTCTCTCCTGACCTGTTATAGTGATCAAGTTACCTTTTCCAATTGCCATTTTGCAAACCAGCCGTTTTCGTCTCTTCTTATCTTTACAGCTGTCAGATCACCGATCTGAGTATTGTCGTTGATAGTAAATGTATCGAGACTGAAAGCATGCAAAGATTGTTAATTGATTAAAGTGCTACTACGACGAAAATCGCTCAAACTTGGATTCAGCTGAAACTTC